CCCAAGATGGAAAACTAGAAGCCAGCACAACAGATAACCAATATGGAAAGTGGTAAAATACAATGTGAACATATGCTCAGATGATCATGTAGAAATGAATAAACTGAAAGCATAAAAATAAACACCCAAAGAAAAGAAAACAAGAGTTAGGAGAGACTCTGGGATGGACTAGCATTTGGTCAATTTTGTATCCCCAAGTCTCTAGTTGAAACAACTGGCTGAACCGTCATCTGATATAAAATCAATGAAGTCGTCACTGAACGTCTTTTATCCCGCCCAAATAGAAAGGTGAACATCGAGAAAACCTAAGGTGGGAAATCACGGTCTGGAGACCGTAGAGATAGGGTAAGGGAGTATGTTATGCAAGAGGAAGGTGTTAGCACCCCTCTCGTCCTTAGTACTCTATGGTATCTGTGATGCAGTGGGAGAACTGACTTGGGTGTTTTGCGTTTGATTACAAATGTTGCAGTTAGCAAGAGTAGCCACCGACTTTTCTTTTATCCAAAAGGAAAGGTGAAAAAGCACAGGAAATACCTTTGAGATTGTTTTTTGATTTCGGGGGGTAGATTATGAAAAGGGAAGGTATTAGCACCCTTTTCATCCATGGTTATCCATGGGCTCTTAGTTACTTGCTTTAGATCACTTGCTTTTATTTGTTTGAAATTGTGTTTGGTGTGGTTTTGAAAGTATTTTGTAAAAGAGGCCATTCATTTAGGAAATCTTTGTAATGATTCTCGTTCGTAAGAATGTATACAAAGATGTTTGTCTTTTGAAAATGTTTTCAATGATTGTGATATGTTTTGAGATGTGTGTGTGTTTTGAAGATAGCAAGGATGTTTTTGTTTTGAAATGGAGCAAGTAACTAGAAGCTATCTACCTACTCAAATGTTTTTCCTATGTATTTTCTATTCCTTTGAAATTGTTGTCTTACCATTGATTTGGTAAGCAACCCTATCTTTGGATGTAAAGGGACGGGCGTGGGTCATCATATAGCCATGATTAGAAATGTTGCAAAGTATCTTAGCATTTTGGGGGACCAAGATCATTTTTAAAAGGAAACTTTTGAATAGTGTCATCGAGGGACTATGATCTTATATTTGTTTTGTTTTGCCAAGATACTTCGCATGCATAACATGGCCATTTTTGTTTTAGGCACCCAAGTGGATAAACCCTAAGGGTGCTTGTATGCAAGTGTATCATTTTCATGCTTTGATTTTGTCTTGTAGTTAGGGTTTTATATTTGCTTTGTTTTGTTCTTGTCATGCAAACCCTAATTACTAATCATGGAATTTAAAGCGATAAATTGCATAATGTAAATATTTGTAAGCTATTACAACAATTTATGGGAAGGGGGAATAGAAGTTTGAATGGGGATTTGCACAAATATAAATCTAAATACATTATTACAACCAAATCGAATTTGTACAAATTTAAGATAAATACAAAACAATATCTAAAATGTAATGCAATGCAATGTTCATGTAAAAAGATTTTTTGATGTCTTATTTTTATGTAAAAGAAAATTTAATCTAAACCTAAAAATATAAAAAAAAAAATTGATTTTCTAAAAGGGGTTTAACCCTAATTATTATTTAAGAGAAAATAAAGTTTATATATTATTATTTTGTGCATTTTCTTGTATAAAAATAATAAATAATATTGTATATAAATATAAAATTATATATATGCAAAAATAGATATTTATAAGTATTAAAACAAAAAATAAATTATACTAAATATATTTTTATATTTAAAAGTTTATCAAGAAAAATAAATTATATCCTAGTAAAATAAAGTGTATTTTTTATGTGAGAAATAATAAAACAAATAAAATAAAAGTGTAATATTATTAATTTATATTTTTTGGGATTTTTATGTTTTAAAGAAAATATTAAAAAAAATATTAAATATGAAAACAAAACAAAATAAAAATAAAATATGAAAATGTAAAGAGTCAGCAAGTGGGTGATAAAGCAGATTTGATGGTGAGATGCTAGCAAAAAAAACACTGGCCCAATAGACAAGCCCATCCTGCAAAAAAATGTCAAAAAACTAAAAAGAAGAAAATGTGAAAAAACAAAAGTAGCGCGCAGGTTCGAACCCATTATCTTTACTGAAGCGAAAATAACATATTACAAAATGCGCCTTATGCCTTGTTTCATCTTCTTCCTCAAGCTCTAGCCAGATACCCTGTAACTTCTTCATACTTCCATAAAAATAAAAATGCATAACATGAAAATTATAGCACTTGAGCACATGATTCCAACCATATAAATTATGTGAACTATTAATCAAAGTATAAAGAGAATTTTATCAGCCCTAAATCTTGACCTAATATTTCTAGAAATTTCAAGTTCCAAATTCTCTCAGCACAAGTAAAATCAATGTAAGATAATGGTATGTACAACTTCGTTATGATGAGGACTACATTTTTTATTCACAGATCGTGGCCTAAGGTTGCCTCTACAAGGAGATAGAGTTTGAAATTTTACCTCCTTCAGTTGGAATCATGAAATGAGCTGGGGTGAGTTTGAGAGAGGCTTGATGTTTGCTTGAGCTTCCTTGAGCTTCCCTGAATCTATTCCAACCCTTGCCTTGCTCTGAAAGTAGCTGGAACTCCTTGGCCAAGTCAATCTGCAAGCTTTGAATTCAACAATGGCAGATAGTGGAGGAGTGATTACAGAACAGGGATGATGGCTTGGATTGACTAGGTATCAAGTATATAAGGTGTTTGAATGATCCAAACTCAAAACGCACGAGCAAAATGGAAGATGGGTATGCTTGTGCAGAAACTGTGTGTTTTGGACAGTTTTTGGTGTTTTGCTTACTGAGAGTCTTTCAGGTCCTTTCCAAGCATGTATTGTGTTGCATATGGTTTGTATATTAGTATTGAAATGGTTTTGTGTCAACCCTCTATCAGCTGTGCAAGCCCTAGCCTTTTTGAACTTTTCTTGTACTTGAAGCAAAGTGATAAGACAAAGCTCACATTCTTGTACTGGCTTCCTTAGGGTTGGTATTTCTTCCCTACAAGTTTCCTTTGGTCTGTGGTACTCGCATGTATCAAGGGGACAGGTCCAATGCTCAAGATTACAAAGTTTGCAAAAGTTGCTCTTTTTCAAAATGGCAATGGAACCTTTTTGCGATAAATGGAATTACAAGTTGGATAAAGGTTCAAAAGCATGGATAGAGGCTTTGTCAACTGAGTAAGCATTTAATTAAGGAGTGTGGAGCAAGTTTAGTACCTTTACAGCATAAATTAGCCAGCATAGGATTGATTTGCAACTTTGTTCTTCATGAAATGGCTTGGACAAAAAGTGAGAAATTGCCAACTTCATCTCTTCGATTCTCCCTACTAAAAAATGATCTTGAGGAGTTCTTTGACATTTTGGAAAGCTTGCAATGTTCTCTATAATTAATATTTGAAATGAATTTTTAGATACCTCTTGGAACTAGGTGAAAAGTTGCCATGAAGTTGGGTCCAAAACCCGCCTAAATTAGGGCAAAATTTCACTAAGTTAACAAGTTCATGACCATGTATTCACAAATTTATATCTTGAGATCCAAGCATCTTTAGGGAAAAGTGTGTGAAGAAAAGTTATATATTTAATGGAGGTATACAACTTTCATGTTGGGAACTTTCCTTGAATCATCATGTATCATGGTGTAAAAGTAGGGTAAAGTTGAGAAAAAATAAGAAAATTTTCTATATTTAGAAAATTTCTAAGTTAGAAAATTTTCAAATTCAAAACCCTAATTTTCAAATTTGGTTTTCTTGATGAACAAGTTTCACATTTGGAAATGTTTTGATGAATTATGACCCTTGGTACTTGATTTTGACCAAAAAGTCAAAGTTTGACTTTTCAGTGTACAATTAACTTTTGAACAGTTGACTGCAAATTTCATCTGTCAATCCAATGTATTTGAGATGTTTTGAACCATGTAATTAAGCCAAGATGATGCCATTGAATCCTTGAAATCATGCTTGAACTCAATTGGTCCTTTTCTAGGTTAAAAATCAGAAATTGCCTTTCCTCAGTCAAAACCCTAATTTTGACCATTTTGCCCTTTTTGTGATTTGATAAAATTTCTTGAGGAATTGTGATCCAAACATGACCGAATGATACATGTGAGTTTAAAATGTTGATGTGGATAAAAAATTATGAATTTTGACTCTAAATTGGCCATGGTTTAATATTTCCCCAATACAGCTGATTTTTAGGTCAATTGTCCAATTGACTGATCAAAAATGTGATTCAAGGCTTGAAACTTGTCATAAGTGATCTTAGGGATCCCTAATGATATTTTAAAGTCATGTGAAGCAATTATGGTCCAAAAATCCTTGTGAAAACTCAAACCCTAATTTTGGGTCATCAGTGCAAGAGGACGTGTCTTGAGCTGACCAAGCCCTAAATCATTCTTGAGTCAAAGAGATCTTGTGAGAAGAGTTTTGATAAATGGGAGGGCAAATTTTGGGGTACAACAGTATCCACTCATGTTGTCCAATCTAATGGGTGTGGTCAAAATATATGCCTAAGGCTTAAAGTTGAAAAGAACGGCGCAAAGATGGAATGCATGCAAAAGATAAAACACGGAGAAATGAAGGAAATAATTATAAAGTTTGCTCGGCTGAGCCCCGTGACCAGATGCCTACGTATCCCTTTTAAAGAATCAGAGCGTCGTAGTTTGGCTGATATATTTTAGTTTTTTGGTGTTTTTTAGTTAAAAAAGACAAAAGACAACAAGCAAGATGGCAAAACATCAGACAAGACGACAAAATATCAGATAACAATGACAAAACATCAGACAAGATGACAAAACAATCAGCAATGATGATAAAACATCAGTAACGATGATAAAACATTAAAAAAGGATGACAAGTTAATCATAATTTTCCCTAGAGTTCATAGGTAACTTTAACTCAATTTTAATTGCACATGAAAATATAGGCCTGCACACTCCCAACATAACGCTATGAATTTTTGTTTTTTTGGTCAACTCTACTAAATTGATGGATAATACATGAGTGGAACATCTTCACCAACAACCAGGTCAGACTCATCAAAATATGGAATATTGTGAGGAACATTGTCAGGGACATGTTTCCTGACATACAACATATAACTAAACTTCAACACACTAAGAGAAAGATCAATTTCAACTTCATCAAACACAATATCATGTTTTTTAATAGTGAAAATTTCATAAATATGAGAAGGAACTCCAATAGAAAGAATTATGCCATAATCACTAATCTTCTTTAGCTTCTTCCAAACCACCATGGGTTGTTCAATTTTGGGAGGACCTCCTCCCTAACCATCAACCTTCACTTTAATGAAGAATTATTGCATGAATCTCATAAAGTCCATAAGTAGTAATTCACAAACACAAGTAACATGTTGAAACATCTTGTATGACATAATGGTTTACTTCCTAACTTGACAAAATTCATAACAACCTGACAAAATTCATAATTTTTACCTTCTTCAATTTTGAGATTAGGCATGAAAAAAACCCGTACCCACGGGTACCCTCCCGAATTCGTCCCAAAGTTGACGAGGAAAACCTACTTTGACTGGGTTTTGGTTTTCCCTGATTACAAAATATGGGGACGAGTCGGGTAATGGGGACACTAGTACTTATCTCGGATCCGCCCCCGAACTTGCCCCATTTTTTTCATTATGTATATAATTATTTATTTTTCATAGTTTAGAATATTAAATATGTGGCCAATATTTTGATAATTTGGTTTATATTTACTATTTAAAATATTTGAAATGTATGTGTGGAATTTTTTAAGATTATTTTTTTTTATTAATTTATAATGTAACTTGATTTTTGAAAAAATTAATATTTCTAATAAAAAAATTGATTTTTCTAAATGGATGATGGTGGGACGGGGATACATATGTTGATGATGTTGTTGACTACCATAAAATTTATAACAATACAGTAGATTGGTGTAGAAAAAAATCAATATACTGGTAAACATGTTTGACATGATGTTGAGACGTGTTACCTGACATTATGCATTATGTTTTATGAATAAGAGAAATACACATATCCTTTGAATTTAATGGCTCACTAGTGTGTATAACCTATTTTATGTCTTTGCAAGTCACAACATTGTTTGCTTGATCAAATTCACATTCTTCATTTATCTTATCCTTAGTGATATGGTAATATTTTTCTTGGTATCCTTGGAAAACTTGACATTCAGCTTGAATATGTCCAAAATCTTTGCATTTAAGACATTGGATACATTTGCCTCTGTAATAATAGTTGAGATTTTGTTTGTCACCATCATTTCCTTTATGTTGAAATTTAAACTTATTGAAAATGTGGTGCTAATCGCCCTTGACAATGGTAGGGAGATTATTCATACCTGTTAATTCTTCTCATAACCTTTCTCAAAAGCTTAGCAAACTTGAGATTTTTTTCAAAATCATATTCTACTTCGTCTTCTAATCTTCATTATTATCTTTGGCTATAATCTTTGGATGATTCACTACAAGAAAAAAAGAAAAGTTATGGCGGTTATTTTGGAAAGTTACGAAGGTTCAAACCGCCGTAATTGTTGGGTCACGACACTTTTAGTCTATCACAAAAGCGTATGCAACCAGCATGTTTTGCGATGATTTGAAAAACCGCCACTCCAATTGTCATTAATATTTACGACGGTTAGTGAATTGCCTTAAATAGCTAATTGCTTCGATTTCAAACTGTTGTGAATTTTTTTTGTGTTTCGTTTTCAAGATAAGTGTGACAGTTTTAGAAAAAGTTTGGCGATTTATAACCCTGTTAAATTAATTAATTTAAAAAAAATAAGAAATCTAAAGTAGTAGCCACTCCATTTCCTTCGTAATACATTTCACATGCTACTTTAAACCTGTATATGATAGCCACTAATTAACAAAATGTAGGCAATCATATATATATATATATATATATATATATATATATATATATGATACTATAATAAAATCATAAATGTTGGCTCAATGATCAGATTGGCAAACAAAAAAAACTGCAAATGATTAACAAAATTATATAAGAGCATAATACACTACTTCTAAGTCTATAAGAACCGTAATTTCTCCCTCACTAGTAGAAGAAACATTGGAAGGCTTGAACTTGTGGTGAAGGTTAACAATGATGAACAAATTTATTGATCTACATGGTGAATTAAAATACTTACTATTACAAATTTAACAAGTTTTTTCAATTTAAATAAAATATCAATATACTACTTTAATATTTTAAAATGTTTACATAAACACCCCAAAAGAATATAATTATATAATAATCGAAATAAAAATTTTATTTATAAATTATGAAATGTTTATTATATAACAAAATAATAAATTATTAATAATAGATGAAAAATAAAAACTAGGGCTTATTTGATAGACATTTTAAAAACTGTTTTCTACTTTTTTAAAACTTAAAAATCATAAAATTTCTAGGATGTGAGGAAATGAAACAAATTTGGAGTACTGGTTTAGAGTGGATACAAGTTGATCATATTCCTAGGATGTGGGAAGAGAAGATTCTTTGGCTTGTGCACAAAATAGAGAAGGATATTATTGTGAAAAGTATCATGGACGTGATTATCCATAGGATATTATTGTAAAACACTTAGACTTCACATAGTTAGATTGATGATATTCTAAGTGCTTTTGTCGTTTTTGTTGGTTAGATCTTAGCGATTACGGTATATTTCGTGGTTTTTTAAATTAATCAAAGTTTTTAATTGTTAAAAAAATTATAAAATTAGTTTGGTTTATATCATTTTAGGAACTGTTTCTCAAAACTATTTAAAGTTAAGTTATTTTTAAAACTGAAAAATTAAAACTTCTAAAAAGTATTTTGGTTTTCATTTTCCTATATTTGATCTATGGCTTAAAATCATTGATGTAATCACTGGCATTAAATTAATATGATTTTAAGGAATGGGTCGTAAGAGTTTTGATTTGATAAACAAACGAGTTGTAAACAAATATGACAATGGTAAATATTTAAGAAATTAACAAGTAGAGAAACATGTAAAGATTAGATTTCATTTACCTATTTCATATATATATTCAAATGATCTAGTACGCGATTATTAATCGTTATTATCACGTGTCACTCTTCGACATAACTTATGTCTAACCGATGGCATGTTATTTACTAAATTTCTTAATCAATAATTTCTCTACCTATTAAGTAATACAATAAAATTAAGACTTAATATAAGTGAATTCAAACTCCAAGCCTATCTCTAGACTTGAAATATATTTCTCAATAATGATTCGAACCCATAAAATTAATATGAAAACAAAAATAACATCTATATTGATTCATAACTAGTTCACATAACACATGATCCAAAGAAATACATACGAGTACGATTAATCACATCGAATCCTGACATAAGAGATTTAGTTACATATCATCATGGTATCTTGCTTCACAAGAAAAAAGAAGAAATGAATAAGCATCTTAGTTGATTAGTGTTTGTTGCGGTATATAACAGCAAGCAAAAAGTAAAGTATTATTTTTACCGGGTGATATAAGTTATATTGTATCGTGTCTACAAAGATTGATTATTGAATTGTCGTTCGAAAATTATCTAGTTAATGAGTTTGGGATAAAATGGTTTTGTATGAAAGGTGCTGAAATTAAAAGTTATACACAAGAAGAATTTCATCATTCGAATAGGATAGAACTCTCGAATTTGTATTTCTTCTACCCCATCAAATACTTAAACTTACTACCCAGTTGAACTTAACCTTAACTACTCGTCAATATCATCACGTATCGCTCACACAAAGGTCATTTATAACACAGAGTGAGATATCAACCGTGTCGCTCCGTGTCGAAGATCTCTCAGCACAACACAAAATAACACTGACGCATTAAGAGTCGATACCTAAGTGATTACTAAGTCTAAATATATCTCTAGAATCTAAGCCCAGTAGATATTTATCCTAAATCAAGATTCAATCCATCCATCTCTGCAACGACTCAAACCCAAACACTTAGCAAGCTAACAAGGATAAACATCAATAAAGATTTGTAAAAAATATTTCACACAACACCATGAGTAATAAATATACATATAATCAAGGTAAAGTTACATACAAAATCCAACAAATAATGGTTACAAAGAGAGAAAGAGAAAAACAAACCAGATTTCCTGCAGTGTCAAACACGATCCATCAAGCTCATATCCCAGATCATCCATTTGAAGGTGATAGAATTTGGTAACAAATACCCCAAAAACCATTCACCCAAAAATGAAATGAAAAGGAAATATAAAGAAATGTTGTTCCGCGAGAATCGCCCGGCGACGTCTCTTATTCACTTGGCCCAGGATAAGCCACGTCCTCAGCAGTTCAAATATATCCTTTATCACCCAGTGATCATAATTCATCGCCCGACGACTCTCCTTATTTTCACCTAGCGACCAAGACCCATTGCAAGGCAGAAACTTCATGGAAATTTGGCCTTTAAATTTTGCCCGACGACGGCTTCTATCACCCGGCGATCCATGACAGTCCAACAACTTTTGTTGCTTTCTTGCATAACTTCCTCTGGCTCCAATCTTTCTCCTTATTCCTTTATTGTCTAAAAATGCATCTTGGAGCTTTATTCCTCTTGCTCCAACAATGCTCAAGTACCTAAAAAATGAATACAAAACTATCAAACGATATACTTTATACAAGAAAACACATTATACACAAAATATATGTATTTATACACAAAGTTGGGTTATTCAATTGATATTAACAACCAAGAGTTGATAAGTGCAATAAAAAGTATATACAAAAATAACTGCAATTTGCACTTATCAAACTCTCCCCAACTTGAATCATTGTTTGTCCTCAAACAAGGTCAAACAACTCAAAGAATAAAGAAATAATAATCAAAGAATCACAAATTAACATATTTTTAAAACGGAAAACAAATGTATGGTTTAAAATAAAAAGGTACACACAAGGCAAAAACTTGCCACTAAACTACAACGATAACATGAAAATGAAACAACTCCTAAATACAAAGCACAAGTCAAAAATTGTAAAATAATATATTGTTCACAAGTGAGTCACACCTAGCACACACTTCATCATTAGATGAGAAACACAGACATGAGGTGTTCAAATCTCACCCAACAATCTTGCTAACAACAACTAAATTATGCATTCATCAAAGAAAATTCATATTCAAAGCACAAAAGCAGAATCAGAAGAGCTTCAAGGGTTGTAGCGTGGTCAGGTGAACAAACAAGGGATAATTC